TGATCAGAATAAATAAAACCTCCAATATTTCGACTGTCAAATCTAGGATTAAAAAAAAATATAAATAAGTAAAATCAAAACAATTATTAAACAATAAATTCAAATAATAAAATGCATACATGGTTAAATTATCACTTTTCCTTAGAATTGCAAATCCAACTTTATTATTGGATAGTTTTACAATATAGTCAGATACTAAAGGTTCATTTCTATTATTTAATTTAAGTACTGGTACTTCAGGGTATGGTGGCTCATAACGTTTATTTTCTGGATCATAGATCTAGATAATGAAATAAATAAATAATAGAATTTGGAATTAAGTTTACAAAAAATTGAATTGCCTATAAGTAAAAAACTTTAACAATAATAAAAATTATAAAATAAATAAACACATTATTGTTTATACAATTGTATATAAAGCTGTTAATTCTGAACTAAAATTTGTTAAATTAAAATTTTTATTACCTTAACACGTAATCGCTGAGCTGTTTGTAATGAAATTTCCATACACAATACTTTGATATCATTTTTATAAATGGTATTTTTGGTTATGTTAAAAAACGCTATTATTTCATCTCTGGATGTAGTTACATTAATAACTTTGTAATTACTATAATTTGAAGAATAATAACACCACGGTATTTGAGAATTTTCAGTACTAGGTGACCAACAGCAATTTCTTTTTTCACAACTTTGCTTGTCAGCTTTTCCTCTTGGAAAACAATCAAATTTATACTCATCGGAAATTACTGAACAGTGACCATCATCTACATGATTATGATTAATACCAATATCAGTCTTCTGTTCAAGATATTTGCTTGAAATACTACTATTTTCTAGTATATTTTTATTGTCACTTATATATAAATATAGTACAACTGATATCGACAACAGAATGGCAAGTAGTGAAATAAATTTGTTTTTATTACATTTTAGATCTTCATCAATTGAATTTTTATCCATAATAGGTATATATGAATTTTGAGATTTAGTTTTTTGTTTCATTGTAAATAAAACAATTTTTGATGTTTATTTGAATTGCACTAAACAGAAAAAAATATGTATTATGATGTAATTCAATAAGTTTGCATTTAATCACTAAGCATATTAACAGTTCAAGTACAACTGATAGGAATGATCATAAGTATATGAATAAACACTTTAATTTATTAGTACTATAAATAGATAAAAATATAATGTACTAACCTTATTTGTTATTGCATTTAATGTATCTATAAATGAACAGTTAATTTGTTTGTAACGCAAATCTAATTGCTTTCAATACTGATTCAAAGTTCAAAACTTTAATCACAAATTCAGAACATATATTTATATAAAATAAGAAAAAAATATATAATCTCTAAATATCTCTTAGCCAACAATAATTAAGACTGTTTGTCAAATGACAATCTATCAGACTATTCCAAAATTATGACCAACGATAATTTTGAGCATTTTGGATGAATGACTAAAACGAAAATAGTAAGTTGAAATACAGGTATGAGGTTAAATAAATTCAATTTTTAAAATTTAAAAAAACTGTGAATTGTGATTGTGAATGATAAATGATAATGTAACGACATAGAATGGAACAATATCTATAGCAATATAGAACATTTGTTCTAATGGTCTTTTGTTCCAAAAACGCATTAAGACCATCTGAACTAATGTTTTAAGTTTTTAAACGTTTTAAGGAAAAAGTGTTTACTGTAAGAAATATGTTTTGGAATAAGTTTAAAGTTATCGATTTTTTATGAAAACAAGGGTATTTTTAATTTAACTTTAGTTCTACAAATATCTATTTAGTATTTAGGGTTTAAACTAATGTATCTTGGTTTTTTACCATTATAGCACAACAATTAAAATATTTAAACTTAACATTTTAACATTTTAGATAGGTATTTATAAAGTATAGGTTCTTTTTATAAAAACCAAGATAATTTAGATAAGAATATAAAAATATAATTCTAATGTAGTTAGCTTGCATAATAAAACGAAACAATAGCAATATTATGAGGACATACAACGGTTGAACGGTATATAGTTAAAATTGACATTACATACCTAATTAAGTAGCTTGAAGAAATACGAAGGACCTTATGATAGGTATCTGTAAACTTGAAAACAAAAAAAAAAAATAATATCTCGATGTTTGAAAAAAAATGTTGAAGGTTTTATTTTGAGGAAGTATAAGTGGTTTTAAAATGCAATACCTATTATACAATAGGTAATAGGTATGATAGTTTATAGGAATTGGAATTTAAAATTTATTTGTAGGAAAGTGATATTTGATTTGGGAGCAGAAATGACACGTTCTCGTCGAGTTAGATTATTGGAAAACATAAGTTTTTTATAAACTGAGTAGCCTTTTTAATTGACTGGCTCCTAGACAACTACCAGAGCGGCAGGGCATAGTGCATGGTATCTTGCAAAGTAATCTAGTGACATATTGCATACATACATCAGATCTGCATTCTTCCCAATAAAAAAAAGTTTAGGTTAGGTAGGTATAAAATTATACATTGTGAATCGTGAATACAGTAACCCTAAGTGTGCCCAAAAAACAAACAGAAAAAGTATTAAGAGGCCTTTTGGATGAAAAAGGTTTATCAATAGCTATTTTGATGTACAGATGCAATTTAATTTCGTAGAAAGAAGTCCAACTTGTTGGTGACTTCTTTAAGTCGACTTAAAAGAAAGGCAAAGATGATTTATCGAAAAAGCGCTTAATAGGTAGTGTTTTGTTGAAACTTTAAAAATTAATGTTGTGATATAGCTATGAAACAAAAAAAAAACCTATGTGAGTGCCTTTGTACTCACGAATGATGTGTAAACATCTTAGCTGCAGTAGCAGTACGACTTTGATTGGGGAATATAATGTCATGGTTTGAGTGGGAATTAGTAAGTGGGAACCTTATTATACATAAGCTAACAATAATCATACAAAGATAGCATTATCTTTAAAATTTATATTTAACTTTTTTATTTTTTTTTATATATATATTTTTTTTATTATTTTATATAATTTATATATTGTGACACGAGATTTTTATATATTAGATATTATATAATAATATATTATATTATGTATGTTGTGTAGCCTGCACGAATACCGTGCGCATTAGCTTCACATACACACACTCAAGCAGTCACATCTACATTCTACATGACTTACGCCTGACGCTCAATTCCCCAAGAAGGCAGTATATTTTTAGCAATTATCACTGGGCGACATAAAAAAAAAAAATGCACTACGTCATAATCAAAATCAATATATTATGCGACTAAAAAATACTTTTCAGAATTAAATATACAAAACCTTACTTATATCTAACAATACCATCAAAACTCACAATACACAAACAAGTACAAATAATTTATGTGTACAACTTACTTTTTTTAGTTAAAAAAAGGAATCAATAACATATAGTACCTATATACATTTTGTTATAAAAGTATAAAAAACAATATATTTAAGTAAATATAAAAATTAGCTTGTAGGAACCAAGGCTAAAATAAAATCTGAAATAATTTGTAGATATTTATTGGAACGACTGATGACCAGATGAAACATGTCACATTGTCGCATAGAATAAATTGTTTCTTGCATACTGTGTTATTTTACGAGTACTTAAGGAGATCGGTTACACGAGGTTTCCATTGTAGAAAATTTCAATAATTATTTGTACTCCCAAATTCAAATGATCTAACGATATAACATAAATATAAATAAATAACAAAATTAAACATAAGAAATAATTGTATAATAGTTTTAAACATTGTTATTTTTACAAATAATCGTTGTCGCCCAGTAATTAAATATATGGTCTATTAGGCGACAAAAAGTTTTCTCTAGGCGACATTTTTGTCGCCCAGTATATTAGTTAAAATATCCACTGCAGTGAAGAAGGTCGTACTACAAACCGATAGTATAGATGTTTACACATAAAAAAAAAAAAAACATTTTACCAAAATTAAATATCACTACAAAATATTGGATTCTAAACAAAACAATTATTGTATTGTACATTTTCATTAAAAATGCATTAATAATTAATATATTATATTAGATATTATTGTATTATTATTTCTATGTATAGAACATGGATAATACCTATTAATTTATTCTTTTTTTTTTGTAATGTAAAAAAATAAAAAACAGTTTATGCCCAAATTTCAAAAAAATAAATTATATGTTATAGAAAAATTAACTATTTAAATGAAGTATTAAGTATAACTCGAGTTAAAAAAATATTTATGAATTTCAACTACATAGCTAAACTTTTAAGGAAGTAGAAATTATAAAAAAACAAAATAAATTCAATTTTTATTGTAAAGACCGCTTTGGTTATAAATTTAATAAAAATTTAATTTAAATATTAATTTAATTTGGGGGACCACTGTGCGACGTTGGTGTACCAAAAAAGTAAACATTTATGTCATTTTTTTCTTTTTCTTTGTGGGCAAGTAATCTAATGTCTAAAATAGTATATGCTTAATAAATGGACAGGTAAATACCTTAATCTCTTCACCCTTTTTACTGCCTTGGTTCTGGTATTAGGGACCTACTCTCCTGAAAAACATTTCCACGGACTGTCGTCAGTGGACAACTTATCCTTCCCGTCATTTAAATATAATATCTAATTAACTTATTGTATAATGAGTAAATACAGATTTCAAAATTTCAAAAATAAAACTTCGTTTTGATAAAAAATACAACAAAAAAACTGTATGCTGGGCATAGCCGATTTCTACTGAAAATGTACCTAATTGAGACAAAAGTAACATGAAAAAATATAACCAAACGACATAAATCCACGGAAAACGACAAAAAGCCATATAACAAAACATCATTATCATAATCTATCTTAACAAAAAAACATCCAACTAATTCTATCTACTATAGATTAAATATACTATATTTAATCTATGTATCTACTCACTGTGATTTGTAAATAACATAGACCTGATAATATCTATTATCAGGTCTATGGTAAATAAATAGAAAAACTGTTATCACTTATGAATGATTGAATGTCAAGCTACGAACACGTTTTTCAAACATTTACAAAATAACAACTTAAATTTCAAAGTAAAAATGAGCAAAAAGACTATACACAAAAAAAAACCAATTTTATCCAACGAAGGAATTGGTTTCGAATGGGATGTCACTCCTGATTATTTCAATAAAAACAATAGTGAATCTGAGGATTCTGACAAGGTAAGATACATTAATTTATAGTTAAATTTTATGAATTATTAATAAAATAATCATTAACAATCTTAATTTTCGTAAGGATTAAAAGTCTATGTAAATACAATCACTTTACATTCTTACAACCTATATATTACATTTTAGGGTGAAGACAATGAACCAAAAAAGAAAAAAGTACGTAAATTAAATATATCTCAACGACGTGAAGAACAAAAACAAGAAGAACTAAGATTACGAAAAGTTGAAGAAGAATTAACTCAAATTGAAACAAACCCTCAAAATGCTGATCACTTTGACCGATTAGTGTTATCTAATCCCAACAGTTCATTTATTTGGATTAAGTACATGGCTTGCCATTTACAAGTAATAATTTATAGAATACTTTATTTAGTTTAAAAATAACAAAGTATAATTAATTTATGGATTATATGGATTAAAACTATTTGCTTTTAATCATGCAAAATATTTAAACATAAAATATTGTTTTAAGTTGATCATAATAAAAACTGGTTTATTGAATTTAGCCTATAACATGATTTTATAGTTTGTAAAATTAATATAATTACATAAAAATTGTGCAATTATGTATTAAACAATAAACATATTATTATTGTAATTTATAGGCTACTGAAGTGGAAAAAGCAAGGGCAATAGCTAAAAGAGCATTGTCTACAATTGATACTAGAGAAGAACAAGAAAAATTAAATATTTGGACTGCACTTTTGAATTTGGAAAATTTATATGGCACTAAGGTAAAGAGATTAATAATTTGGCTTTTTAAAATTTATTCCTTCTTAGTTGAATCAATTATTAAATATTTAACATTTTAATATCATATTGATGGTTAAAACTTAAGTAAAGAAATAATATGACAATTATATTTTAGGAATCATTTAAACAAACAATGGATGAAGCATTACGTTCTAATGATGAATATCAGATTTATATAAAAATATTGGATATTTTTGCAGAATCTAATAAATTAAAAGTAAAGTTTGAATATAATATATGATAGTTCTTTTTAATAAACTTTGTTTTAAATACTACTGTTTCATTTAGGAATTAGAAGAATTAATTACAAAGATTAATAGAAAGTTTCGTGATTCTCTTGATGCTTATTTACATTGTGCTACTGTGTACTTCAAACTCAAAAAATCTGGCAAAGCAAGATTTATTTTACAAAAAGCATTATCAAATCTTCCAACTAAATCACGTATGTTAATTTGTATATTTAAATTCCTTTATTACAAAATCTAATAATAAATAAATATAAACAAAACTTACAAAATTTGATTTGGTGAGCAAGGAAGTTCAATTGTTAATTAAAAATTAAATTATAATAAAATTCCTTAAATACTTTATTTGAAGTGTTTTAAATTCCCAAAAATGATTGCTGATCTACATACATTTTATTACGTGTACATGAAATTATTATATAAATTTGATCACAAAATTTTGGTGCATGATCACTAAAATGTTTACTACTTCTGATATAATACCAAGTATATCAACTATATAGACAGAATTAAGGTAATGTTTTTTTTTAATATTTTAAAACAGTTTCATGTTTATATTTATCATTATCACAATTTATTTTAATTTATACATTATACTAATTTATTAAAAGGAAATCATGTTATTCACATATCACATGTATTGTCTCTCTCAAACTAATGTATACCAAACCAAAATAAACATTCAGCAGTTTCAATTTTAAGTATTTTTAAATATTTAAGTAAAATAATCTTTTATCAAAATTAAAGGTGAGAACATTTTCTGTATTTAATATGTTTTTTAATTTGTAAGTTATAAGGATGTAAAATATTAATTTTCAAAAATGATTTTAACTCATTTAAAAATGTAACGAGAAAACACAAAAACTACTGATAATGTTTTTACTTTTAAGTTTGATAACAGTCCATTTTACTAATATTTAAACTAAACACACAAATTTGAAACTGGCATTTTGGTATGTTTGTTAGTTTTAGACTTCACATATACGAGTACAATATCCAATTAATATGATTTTGTTATATATATTTTTTTTTTACTTTATAGATGTCACTATGATTAGTCGATTTGCGTTGGTTGAAAATAGTGATGGATCACCAGAAGAAGCACAGACGCTGTTTGAACATGTTTTAACATCCTATCCTTCTCGTATTGATGTATGGAGTATATATGTAGATATGTTAATAAAATCTAATAGAATAGATTTAGCAAGGTAAGAATAACTTAATTTTAACCAAGATATTATTCCACACATGTTTAGAATAGTTTATTTGATAATAACATAAAATTATTTTTTATGATTTTAGACATGCATTAGAAAGGGCAACAATACAGAAATTAGCTCCTAAAAAGATGAAGAGTTTGTTTAATAAGTGGATGATGTTGGAAGGAAAATATGGGACTTCTGAATCTGTAGATAAAGTTAAGGAATGCATGAATAACTATGTTAATTTAATTTTAAAAAAATAAAAAAAATAAATATTTTAGAATTAATTTTTGTAATATTATTTCTTAAATAAATATTATATTTTTCTTACTATACATTTTCAGGCTTTTAATTCTTGCAAAACTTTGGTTACTACCTCTATTTATGATGTACTATTATGTATGTAGATTTCTCATCTTTATTATAGTATAATATTCAAACATTAAAAAAAAAATTTTACATGTCAGTATAATAGTTTCTTTAATACTGGGAATATGTAAAACTTAAAAGCAACGAATATAAATATTATATTACTCATAGTTGAATTTGAAATATATTTATTTTTTTAATATACACACAAATGAGCGACAAAATATATGAAAAGATGTATAAATAAGATTTTATAATTGTCCACATTGTGATATAACAATGGGTATTTTTGGTTTGTTATTTGGACCAGTAGGAACATTTTCAATTTTTCTCATTACCAACAACCCATCAATGACACGACCAAATACCACATGTTTTCCATCCAAAAAATTACAGTTGGCACATGTGATAAAAAACTGACATCCATTGGTATCTACACCACTGTTGGCCTATTGTGAAGAAAATAAAAAAATATTTATAAATGTTATTTACAATTATAAAAAACATTACCATAGATAAAAGTCCAGGTGCATCATGGTTAAGTTTAAAATTTTCATCCGGAAATGTATCTGCACCATATATACTCATAACCCCAGTTCCATCGCCCTAAATAATAGGAAAATAATTAGGAATTATTGTAATGATTTATAAAATTAAAGAATTTATCACTTAATAATCTAAACTTACATTTACAAAATCTCCACCTTGTATCATAAAATCTTTGATTATCCTATGGAAACAGCATCCTTTATACCCAAATGGTATCCCATCTTTTTTGTGTTCACCAGTACAAAATTGACGAAAATTTTCACTAGTCTTAGGCACAATGTCAGCATATAATTCCATTATTAATCTACCAATTTCCTGTGAAAAACATCTATTAGTTAAAAATTTTAACATAGTAGGTTTCTATATACAGTCAAATTCGCTTATAACTATATTCAAGGAACTTAGAGAATCTGATTGTTATATCTAGATTATAAAAAGTAATTACACATAAAACATAAAACCAACTAAATGCATTGCTTGGAATCGTTTTACCTGAAATATTGTTATAAATGGCATCGTAATAATGTACTTTTATTTTATTATTACTTCTATTACTCTATATTTTTAACCATTTTTAATCATTTTTATGCTTTCAACAAAGTTTATTGTCATGGATTTAAAAACAGAATATTAAGTTTTAAAAAATAAATTGCATAGTGTTGTCACAATTTTCCAACAATGCAAAATACCATGAAATATAAAATACAACTAACATTTGAGAAATATAAGATAGATAATAAAAAAATAAATATATATAAAACTTATAACCACAATACTAAATAATAGTACAATTAAATTTTTTTTATTCTTGAAAAGTTAGTTATATTTAAATTAAAAGTACCTACACAACTCAATGTCATATTATTTTAACTACATGCTCCCTTCATAAAAAATAATAAAAAAGATACTTACTGTTCTTCCAACAGATATGTCAAAGAATACAACAGGATTCTGGGGGTTTCTTAATTGACTTTGAATTTGATTCCAGGTCGGCATAGTTTAGCTTATTTAAATGCAGATTTGACTATTTATACTGTTAAAAATATTTCGTTAAACAAATAAGTAAATTATTATAAAACGATGAAATAAATCAATAAATATTTACAATGTAAACACAAGTTTGGGAATTAAACTATGAAATAAGAACTGATGATATATTTATGGTCTTCAAATTTTAATTATTTAAAGTTGTCGGTCGAGTAATACAATCATAATCCTATGTTTCAAAGATAAATCAGAAATTAGGACTTAGGAGACTAATTCAAAACGTAATGTTACTAAAATTCCAGGTTTATAAAACGATACAAACCTGAACGATGTTTGAAATTTAAATTTGATAAAGAATGGGGAAGTGGATACTACAGTCAGTATTAAAAACAATAATTGATATCACTAGAATAGAAGAAAATTCAAAATAAACAGGTTTATCATGTCAATATCATCATGGATTAAAAATTAAAAATAATGATTAAATTTTAGCCACATAAAAGAAGTTTTAGCTCAGATATAATATAATATAATAATATATATATCTTTAATCTTATGACTTACAGTATACATATAACTGTGATATTTACTATGGTTATTGGTATCTATTTCCTATGGTCCTGTATACAACTATTACAACTGTTCGTGCTTTTAAGGAATTGTTATCAATCTTCGTATCAGTATAGACATTAGACTTATATAGTTTTATGTCTTATGGCTTAAGGTTACCAGCATAGCTTAAAGTCAACTAATCTCTTTATCTTGGTGTCTGGTAGGATACTTGGATCAAAACATTAATTTAAAATTTTTAAAAGTGTTAAGCTTTTAACAGTTCAAACTTAAATCTTTATCATGATTGTGGTTTCGATTGTTTCGTCTGTATATTAGTATATAACCCATAACAGATATTTTTTACATTTGAGTCATTTGACCACATAATGAAAGATAAATATAATATTCACCTTATGGCTTGTACCTGCCCGGTATCCATCAAGCATTATGACATAATATTATGTTAATTCATGTCACAAATAATAATGATTTAAATTTTTAAACATTAATATTGATTTTTAATTAAAAATGTTTAGTTATTATAAATTTTATTTTAAAAGTGTAAATTGTTATTGATTTGTCTTGGTTTTAAAAATTTATTAATTTTACTTTCATTTTATTTTGTTGACATGGATAAGTCTAATGTCTCTTTACCATTGATTATTTTGAACAATAAACAAATATTATTAAATTGTAAGTTATATCTCATAATTTATTTGCATAATTGTACTGTGATTTGTTTAAAATAAAATTATATAACAAATTAAAAATACCATCTTATAACTTAGTTTAAAATATTTAATTTAAATTATTTTTTTAAAAGCACTAAAAATAGTTGATATAAGAATACTTGATTTTTAAGTGTTTTAAGTTGATTTATGTAAGCATAAAAAATGATAGTGAATCATGTTATACTTTTAAGTTATATACTTATATGTATATTTTTATATCTTAAGAGTAAATAGTTATTATTTGGGCCTAGATTTTTATGTAAATACATATTATTTTACATCTTAGAACAATTTTGATATAAGTATATTTCAATGCTTGGTAATGTGTAGATTCTAAAGTTAATATTATTGCAGATGTTTGCATATTTAAGTAGAAACTTACATATTTTTAGATAATTAAAAATTGTCTAAAAAATTACATGCTCAATAAGATTATTTTAATTTTTCTCTTATTTTAACTAAATATTGAATTCTAATAAATAAAAGAGTATTAAGCAATTTTGTGCTAAAATCAGTCTGAAAATTAATTATTTTACTTGAATATTTTATACAATTTATAATTAATTATTATTAGCTAGTTAGTGTAATCTCGTTAACTCAACATCTATTTATCTGTGTAAGTGATAATAATTACTGTGTTCTTTTTAACAAAAGGTTAATTTTTCTATTATATATTAAAATATAATTATCAATTAAGTTTATTTTAATATTCTTATATTATATTGCTTATTAATTTATAAGTTTTAGTTAATTACCTACATTTGCATTTTAATATATTCATCATACATAATTAAAAACTTTATAACATTTTTCAAGTATTTTTATTTGTAATTCTATACATATTATAAATTACTAATCTATAATATTTATGTATTTTATAGTATTTTTTTGCATATAAATTCAGGTTAAAATTTTAAGTTATAACTAGGTTATGACAGACTATAACTTATTAGTTTATTACATATAATAGTGAATACCACCCATAATATAATATTATTCTGTGTTTATCTAAAAATATTTTTGTTTTAACAATAAATTTAATAACATTTATAGTTGTTATTTTTTTAATTTATGCATACATTTTTGTGTTTTTTTTTTTTTTATATATAGGCTCAGTTGTTCCAGAAAATTTAAATCAAAACAATGATATTAATACTATAAATACTATAAATATTGATCCCAATGTAAAGTTACATTCTAACTATACACCAGAAAAGAATACACCATTCTTGAAAAAAAATCAAAAAAAAAAAGGAAAAATTCGTTTCAAATGTTTACATTGTGAATACTTAACATTTCGAAAACAAAATTTAATTGTCCATCTCAGAGAAAAACACGAAGTATACTCCTAAACAGTAATATGTAAGTTAATGCATTTATTATACCAATTAATTATTTATAGACTAAAAAACAACTGGAAACCAAAGTTGATAATAATTCATCAAGTACATCAAATACAACAAGAACTACTGAAGTTTTTTTGTGTACATTATGTAAAATGACTTATAATACACTAGATAAATGTAAAGAACATATGGCACAGGTAATTAAAAATAAAATAAGATTTTTTATTAAATACTTATTGGACCTTTTATTATAATCATTATAAATTTTTAATCTTTAAAATTATTTAAATAATTTCTAATTTTAGTTTTGAGTTAGGTATATAGAAGTAATTTGACTAGTTTAAATTATGTTTACGTTTAACTATTTTTTAGCATTTAATAAATGTTCCTAAGAATAATCAAAATAAACAACAAGAACAGGGTTGTAAAAGTATTCAATTAAGTAAAAACAATTTTGAAGATATGGAGTATGTTTCAAAGTAATTTATAAATTGTTACAATATTTTACTTATCTGAAAAACATAATAATATAATTGTTTTAGGTGTGTCCATTGTAAACGTAAATTTCGTTCAGAAAATTCTAAAGTACTTCATTCGTTATGTCACCAAAATGATAGTAAAGATTATAAATGTAGTGAAAAAGATTGTGATTTTATTACATCAAGATGGAATGCTTGTCGTATACATTTGTGGAAGGTTCATAAAATTGATATTGATATGTTTAACTGTCAAGTATGTTTTTAACATAATATAAATATATCATGAATACCTAATGTTTCCCTTTAGGGTTTCTTTAATTCCTTTATTTCAGATTTATTTTACATCATTTTTGATTCAGGTCTATTAAAACAAAATATTTGAGGCATACATCTAAATAATATTGAGAATATTTCTTAGTAATCTTTTCAAACTTGAAAATTATGTCACATTAGTACAACACCTCTAGAATTTTTTCTAAATAACTCTTCTTTCTTGATCTATGTGATGCTTGATGGGAATCATCGAAATTAATCTAATAGATAACCATTTGTTTTTTGTTTTTCTATCTAGTCAATAGTATTATCCTATTACATCTCTTGGTCTTAGTCTTTATTTTGTATAATAAACTAAGTATAAATTAATTTAATTTTATTATTGTATTTTTAATAATTAATATACATATAAACTAATATTTTCATTTTAATAGGTTTGTAAAAAATATACGACTACTACTTATCATAACTTAGTTAATCATGTTTCAATGAAACACAATAAGACATTATCTTGTGTAGACTGTGGTGCAGAATTTGATGATTCAATTAAACTACAAAATCACAGAGTATTTCATTCAAAAGCCAAATCTGTAAATAAGGAAAGATGGTAATTACGTAAGATTTTTGGTTTTCAAGCATTTAAATTATCTGATTTAAAAATGTTTTTATAGGTATATGGAAAAGACATGCGTAATTTGTAATATGGTATTGGCTAATTCAAAAAGTTTAAAACTTCATACAAAAAACGTTCATTTAAAGTTAAAACCTTATGTGTGTCAAGTATGCAATCATGGCTCAGCAACTAAACATATGATGCAAGTGCATATGAGGCAACATACTGGAGAAAAACCATTTAAATGTGATGCACAGAATTGTAATTTTAAAACTGGTAATAAATTATAATATCTCTTCATGAAACAAAAAAATTTGCTATTTGGTATAAATTATAGGAGATCATAACTCTCTTAGGCGTCATAAACTACGCCACTCTGAAGAAAGACCATACAAATGTACCCATTGTGATTACAAGTGTATTCAAGTGACTGCTCTCAAAAGCCATATAACAAATAATCATCGAGATAAAATGGACAATTCATACTATTCTTGTAATCGATGCACATTTGGAACAGTGAGTTTAAAAAGATATAATGATCACATATCTGGTCATGAAACACAAGTTCAAAATGGTAAATCATTTATAAAACAATGATATTGTCTTTATATTTTACTTATGTTCTAATAATTTTTAGGTCTCGAACCTAGTCCTGTAAAATGTCTAGAGACAAAAGCTGAAATGACTGATGATGATGATACAGCACAAGGATATGTTGATGACACTGGTGGTATAACTATTTCTGAAAGTGTTGGTTGTGCTGTATTAAATTTAGATGATAATGCAATTATGCTTACATAATATGTTTTAAAATTAAACTTGTATTCATAGTAATTTTTTTTTTTTTTTTACCTAAATTAGTTTTTTTCATAATAATCCTGTATCAATTATTTAAAACAATAAACTGATAAATTATAAATAAATTGATTATTCAATGTTAAAATTAAAATTGACATACATAAATATAAAATACAATAGTATAGTATAAATTCTGAATTTATTATCAATACCTACTGAAAATTAACAATATCTTAATTTGTATTTTTATCTTCGAAATGTGGACATTTAAAGATACAAACACTACCACAAGTAAAATAAAGCCCATTTATAAGAGCAAAATTTTTAAAATATATAAGGAAATAAATAAAAGAAGTAATAGTTTATTTTTAATGAAAAATATCAACTTCCAAATGTTGTATTTACTTTTGTTTGTCAATTGATTACATTATTTAACGAATAAGTATATTTTGTTAAAATTATTAAAAATTGATTTAACTATAGTTGGTATAAAATATATAAATAATAAAAAAAATCTAAAAAGT